GGATCTTTACCACTACTGAACGCCAAAATAGTCCCGATGGTGGTTATGGTCCATGGTACCCAACAGGGTAAACGCTACGCGGCTTCTCCTGTAGTCAGGCTTCATCTGTAGCGCAGCTACAATAGGTAGGGCCATAGAAGAGCCGCATATATAAAGTCAATACTCGGGTAAACTGGTGAAACCTATACGATTCCTATATCTCCCGCAACACAACGTTGTTTCAGTGATGAACCACATGTCCGGTGACTATGTTGCTTTTCAGAGAGCAGCTCAGTGCGCTCGAGCGCGACAGTGAAAGCCCCACTCGTACAAAGCGCCAAATAGCTCAGTATGCTAAACGCTGGACTAACAACAAAGTCTTTTACTATTTCGATGCTAATATAAGTAGGTTTCGTGTGTGTTTATCCCTTTTTCTTTTTCTTTTCCACTACACAATGAAATCGAGCACTTTTCAGCTGTGCCTACTCGGCAATACATCCGAACGGTGCTTAAATACCTCCAGCAACGCACATGCCTCAGTTTCATTGAGAGTACTACAGCAGCAACACGTATAAAAGTGTTCGGCGGATCCGGCTGTTATTCTTACGTCGGAATGCTGTCAGGAGTGCAAGAGTTGTCATTGCCGGATGGCTGCATTGTTGTAAGTCACATTCATCTGATTATCGTTAGCATTATTGTTATAGGAATTCCATATTCCGTTTTTTGGGCGGAAGTTGTAGTGGCAAGTGGCACGCTTACCACGCGAGCGGTCCGGGATCAAATCCTGGGTCGTGAGTCGCCCGGGCCAACCAAGCCTTCCATCCCTCCGGGGTCGGTTAATTGGTACCAGACTTGTCTGGGAGGATAAAAACACTGACTTGTACATCGGCTGGCCCCCCCGCAAGTCATTGTATAGGCCACATCGCATTCAAACGCCACTACGAATGTACAAATGGAAGTAGAATGCGTGCCGCATCCCAAAAAGGGATTGATCAACGGCAAATGCTTTATCCTTTATTTATTTATTATGGATCTCCATCAACAACATTTTTAAAATGCTCCGTCTTAGAGCCGTGAGCCGTTTTTAAAGGAAGGTTTCCAGTGAATTGGAGATCGAAAAAAAGGAAATGTAACCCAATGGAAAGGAAGGCATGTTTTCAAAGGGTGCAGGGACGATTAGGTTTCACAATACGATGGGCATTGCTGCGAGACGGTCAGACAGTCCGCATGACGGGCGCCGCGGCTGTTACACCGATCCACGGCCTGACTTCCCACGCTGTCGGGCACTTGGCGCGGGCTCCACAATTTGCATACAGAGCAGAGCAGTCTTCAGCTCTGATAACAGATATAGGAAGAACGCTGTTACGCCCGGTAACAGCGCCGTTTATTCGTGCTGTTACCAAGAGGTTAATGCGGATTTCAGGCCCCAGTGGTTGTCAGTTTTCTTATTTCCTAATTTGCCTCTTCTCGGATCTCTTTACTTCATTTTCCATCGGCAAGTCAATGAGTGTGGGCGTGAATCAGTTTAAAGTGGAAGGGAGGGTGTCTGTCTATGAAGGTATTCTATCATTAGCAATATAAAATTGACCAGGTGAGCCAGATACAGGGTGGCTACTAAATATTGGCGCATGGTTTATTGACCATATATTTTTGCAAAGAGAAACTATTACATATTCAGAAGTTTATTTTTATATACAGTAAAACATATCCATGCATCACTGAAGAAGGTGCTCGAAATGGCCTCCCTCGGCAGTGATACAGGCTTCAAGTCTCTTCTCAACTGACATCACCGTGGGCCGCAAGTAAGTGACGTCAACGTGACGCGAGAAGATCATCACACACTGGAATTGGCGCACAATTCTCAAAAGGACAGGCAATTGTTGGATCCGGCTAGCAGGCATCCTGCTCGACGTCGTGCGCACACAAGGAGCCGATTTCCAAAATCTGTCATGATTTAGGCAGGAATTACTTCCGACACCGAGACACCGTTTGTCTTTGTGGACAAATCCGTCAAAATTAACGCCCAGATCTACCAGGAAACAATTTTACGTGATGTGCTCCTTCCATGGACTGTTTCGACCTCCAGCAAATGTCAGTGCCTGGCGTTCGCGACTGGCTCGCCTTGATGCCGAAAGCTACTGCTGATTGGTGTTGTGACGCCATGTTCAGTTCACTGGTCACCGGATGTTAAGGCCATCTAACTCATCGATTGAACAATGGATTTTGCGGTGTGGGGCTTCCTGCAGCAGAAGATGCCTTCTAGGCAACATCGAAGTTTGGACTTCCTGAAGGCTTCCTAGGAGGAAGCGTTGAAGTAACTCGACGAAAACTGCTTGCGGCCCACGGTGATGTCAGTTGAGAAGAGACTTGAAGCCTGTATCGCCGCCGGAGGACTTCTTTCCGAGCATCTTCTCTAGTAATGAATTGTTATGTTCTACTGTAATAAAATAAAAAAAAAAAAAAAAAAAAAAAAAAAAAAAAAAAAAAAAAAAAAAAAAAAAAAAAAAAAAAAAAAAAAAAAAAAAAAAGCCCGAAAATTTTAATTTTTTTTTTGGAAATAATGGTCAATTAAACCATGCGGACCAATAATATAAAATGACCAAGGTGGGGTAGGGTTGTTGGGAACGGCCATCGTATTCGAAGTCTAAACAGACAGGCACCAATTTTTTACTGTACAATTTCACAGGTTGGCACCGTGGCTCACGAGTTCATGCACGCTCTTGGCTCTGTTCATACTCACATGCGAGACGACAGGGACAACTTTGTTAAGGTCAATCTGACAAACGTAGCTGTAAGTTAATTAATTTGCTAGATGTTTAATAGTTTGTTTCAGCTGATTTTTTTGGAAAGGACTTTCCAGTAATTAACATTGTGTATTCATTGTTATATTGCTTGTACATGATTATTCTTTATACGTTGAGCATCCTGGCAAAAGTGGATTTCAAGGTTGCTTTCAAATATGACGAAGAATTCTCAACAGGGAAGTCGCATTCGCTTTGGTAGGGTGGAGAGAGTCATATTTGTGGCTTTTTGAATGAGCATAGATGGAGAATGATTAGTAAAGATCGCCGCTGTCGGCACTGAATAGTGTCGTTGAACGTTCTGGTTCTGTTTTCACGTGTTGCACATCGGCGTGACAGTTTGGCGAATTTGAGGAACTGGGCGGGGAGGGTGTCGGATAGGTAAATGTGTTGTTGTTGGCGTTTTAGGGTGAGGATGTACGATCCTTGGGAAGGAGCTGGCAGCAAAGCGGCCTTTTTCTAGTATAGTGAGGTTGGACACCTGCAACGGCCATGTCGTTGATGCGGCGTTCTCCCTGCTTTAAAGCAACAGTTCAGGGAGGGTCCGAAAATTTCAATGCCACTACTACTGAGGGATACACGAGCCCTAGTGAAGAACATATGCAGTGGAAATAATAAACGAACTTACCTCAGAAACTCAAAAACAGGGTGGAAAGTCCCTCAAACATGGGTGTTCTTGGGGATTTCCCCAATCCCGCCCCCTTGCCGGCCGTCATTGGACGCGTCGGCAATCGTGCTCGTTTTGGGACCACAGGGAAAATTGATTGAAAAATGGAGCGCGTTTACAGCGGGCACGTTCAGACAACTCGTCCAACGTGCGTCTTTATCCATTGCTGAGCGGCAGAGGGAGAGTACCTGTCTAAGACCCTCCCCGACGTTTTTTTCCAGTTTTTCATACATTAATCGTCTGGTTTTCATCTACAACTTCATTATTGGTGGTTTTTTCCCGCGAAACCGTTCCTGAACTGTTGCTTTAAATGCCGTCGCAAAAGCACAAGAAAAGATCAGGTACAGCAGCTCGCAAATCCAAGTCCAAATCCACCGTTTGGAAGCATTCTTGCCTTTCTTTCGAGCTTGTCGTAACCAGCAGGGGAAACCAACTTTGAGTGGTCAGGCCGTCTGAGGAGAGCAGAGGAGTGTAAAATAAATCAAACAATCCGTGGGTTAGCTCTCAGCTTCAGAAGAAATGAGCGATGTGTAGTCGTTTTAACCCTTTGACGACAATGCGGATTTGCACGTAGCTTGCTCGTGGGACCACGCCTGTTTTTGGCGCGCCCAACTCTCGCTCAAAATTAGGAAAAATTGTCCTTTGAAAGCAATTTTTCTGTAGAATTTTCGACTCTAACAGTATACCAGTTATAACTGCAGTTCTAGGCTTTCATACTGTAAATTATTTTCAAGAGAATTCCAAATTTGGACGGGGAACTCGCGTTTCAAAGGGAAGGAGGGCAAAACCTTTAAAGTTTAAGTGTCCAAGAGAATTTCCGGTACACTTCAAACCCCTTCCTGTATCTGAGGGCTATGAGAAGACGAAGAAGTCCTGATTAGTAATTAATCTTCGCCTAATAATGCAAAACCCCAATTAATATGGTGGCGAGCTAAATGGCACATTCTAAAATTCTATATAAATTAGCTCTTAGTAAACATTTCTGTAAGTCGTGCTAGCCATAGATATTATGGAACTTGCTTATAATTATTGGGGTGTTACAAATGTTTTAAATGCAAAGAAGGAAATTTTAAGGTGGCACCCACCATTGGGTGCCATTGTCCCACGCGACGAACATAGTGGCACCCACCGGTGGGTGCCATTGTCGTCAAAGGGTTAATACAAAATGGGAGCTTCAATAATAGATCAAAAGCGGATAAGTTGAAAGAATTCCTGCTCTCATAGAAAATTCTCGCTGCATTTTTTGGAGTCTGAAACGTAATGAAAATGGTTCAAAAGTCAAGGACTAATATTATTAATGAAATTCGACATTAGCAAAGCGAAGGAGGCAAAAACTTTATCAAGTCAAGAATTATTTATTTAATTTATATATGGTTAGTTAAGATTATTTACATAAAAACAATTTGAAAATTTTTTTCCTATTCAATTCAAGTTTTTTGAAAATTGCCACAGTCTAGGACTTTTCGCTGCGCTTGCTCTTGTGCAGCTGAGCTTCAGCGAACTACATATATCTTGGAGTGAGAGAGTATTTTTAGCCAGGTTATGAAAACAACTTTGTCAAGCAGAGCAAAACAATCAATCCTGTGCCATACGAGTACGGTAGCGTTATGCAATACGTCAGCACCTCGTGAGTAATTCAAGCTTTTTCATAACGTAGCTACTTTTTTACTCCCAGATAGACTCTAGCATCAGGGAGATGAGCCCTATTTTTCGATTCTAATTTAGCATGGCGATACAAGGACATACAATGGAACCTCTCCAGAAGAGGTTCCAACGCACTATGGGCTCGAACGTTATCTCATATTACGACCTCAAGGCGTTGAACAAGTTTTACCAATGCAACGGTGAGAAATTTTAGAGTATTTAGTACCCGAGACACGTGAGGGCAGACCCCGCGACCAAGTTCGTGTGACAGTTCCTCACGACCATAAAAGACGAGCATGAGGAAGACCGTTATTTGGGAAAAGAAAATAAGAAAAGCAATGAAAGGCTGTCAAGAACATAGAAAAATTTTTGCGTTGTGGAGGAGTCTAAGGAACGGGTGTCCCCCAAGAGGCCCGTCGCGCGGCGAAGGAAGAGACGCAGACGCGGCAAAGGACGAGTCGCAGCGCGTGCTGTGCGATATGAGACGTAGTATGGTACACTCTATTTAACCTGACGCCTAACCGCTACAGTATGCGCTGCGACTCGTCCTTTTGCCGCGTCTGCGTCTCTTGCTTCGCCGCGCGACGGGCCTCTTGGGGGACACCCCATGACAGACGCGAGAGTTAGCGTCTAGGAGTTGTTGAGGTTACAAAAAACTTCCTGACTGAACCAGCGAGCATTAACCGTCCCTGACAAGGTACCATCACTATGGCCGCACCGACTATCCCCAGGCAGTTTGTACTAGCGCGCCTCGCAACGCCGTTCAAGACCACCTTTGTGTAGTGTATTGTCTGGCTACGGTCTCTGCCTTCTCTTTCGCTTATTTACAATTTTTTTTTTACATGATCACGAAGTGTTCCCCTGAAGGGAGCCTCAGGATGAACAACAGTAGCGGTCAAAAGTGTTCGCCGAAACTTTTTTTCGTGCATTATTTTTTCTCGCTTGAGCAAAAAAGAACTGATACACATATTTCCACTATTCTTATATCCTTAAGCCTTATGGAATCAGGATGTTCAAAAGAAAAATTTTTTCGAGGTCGCCATTGATTTTTTACTGGCAAAAAAGAGAAGCACGGAAAAGCGTTTTGGCTTTGAGCTCTACTGAATGTCGGTGTGCAGAGCGCTTGATAGTGATATTTGCGGTGCGAAGTGAACCAAAAATGGAAAGGAGATGGAGAAAAGCATCGAAATCAGGTCGGGTGTGATAGACGGAGCTTCAGAGCAACCAGAGTAGCAACGAGGAAGCACTTCAATTGATTCAGATAAGCAGCTAATGCTGCCTCCTCCAAACGAGCTCTGTTTAGCACCGCCAGTAGCGGGCATTGATGAGTACCTACCACCCTTAAGGTGAACTTTCGAATCGTTTCAATGGTGCACTGGTGAACCCTTCGAACAGCTCATTCTACCTACCGAAGAGACTGATCAGATGTTCTTTTAATAAAACATGCCTTTTGAGCAACAGCCTCATGGTCAGATCAAATAGGTGGGGTAACTGTAGTCGATAACAAGGTTGTGGATGCCGAGCTGACTGAGAATGAAAAAATGCAAGGCAGACTGCCGACAAAGCCCTCAAATAAGGACTCTCCATTTCCTCTTAAAATGAGGAGGGTCGTGTCTGAGGAAGTTCTTTGATCTTGCTTCCATTACGGCTCCACTAGCCCGCGCGTATTAGGACTAGCCGATGCGCCCTAATCCACGTTGTGTTCCTGGGGTGTGCGCGAGGTATCTCGTCCATTAGCTCAGCCGTCATTAGCCCACTTTGTAAGGCCCTAGCGCCATTGTCGCGCACTTTCAAGCCGCGACAACGGCGCACTTGTAATACTCGTGGGCTGCTCTATCCAACCCATGAATTAGATTGCTCCTTACGACCTCATCTGAGGTTGTTGCTTTAATTAAACTTTTACTGTTGTACCAGTCTAGCTCCTCACGCTATCGCTCGCATGACAGTCTGCCTACCTCATGTTACTGACGGGAAAAGTCGTGGCTTGTGATACCGCAGGAATCCCTAATACCCATAAATACCCATTATTGTTCGGAAGGCTATGTATACACTCTTCGAGGCTTTCTCAGGTGTATAGATATTTCCTCTGTGTCTGTACCACGGCCGTTCTTCTTCCTTTCCAGAGAAACAGGACCTGTTCACAAAATATAACAATAGTACAGGAAATTTTGCGTTAGCCAGCTGCGATTCAGATGAAGCAACTTCCCCTATTCGTGACCGGGCGCGTTTTTCGAAAACCGCCGGTTCGGACCAGCGCGGTTTAACCCATTGGCGACAATGCGATTTTTCGCTTGTCTGCCGCGTCGGACCGCGCCTTTTTTGACATTTTCGAAAAATGTGTCATAATGCGGCTAACCACCTGCACCAAAAATGTTGAATCTTGAAGCATGAACTGTTAGAACTTTGCAAGTTTCGTATGATTGCAGACCGCTTCCAAAATGAGCGTAAATCTTTAGGTTTTGCCGAGGGTGTATTTTGGAGCATGCCAGAAAAACTTCAAATCTCCACTTTAAAACCCGTAAATGAGGTCGGATCCAGATCTCTCTTTGTGAAATGTTGTAGCATTACTCTAGCTGACTCCAGGCGAAAAGCCAGCCGGATACATTCAAAAATAACAAGCTTTGCCTTGGAAAATCACTTTCAAGTACCCCTCGTGTAAAACATCAACTAAGGAAGATATGCACTGACCATTAATACCATAAGTACTTCTGGAAATCCTGCGGAGAAGAGTTATCTCAATGCTGCGTCCCCCACATCGAGCCGCATTGTCCGTCGTGGCAAAAAAGTGCGTCCCCGCGTCGAGCCGCAATGTCGCCAATGGGTTAAAGCGAGGGATTACGATAAGTTTGGACTGGGTTCATAGTGGAAGTGGAGATGCTGAATAATGCCCCAGTGGCGAAAAAAGCAAAGAAATCCGTCAAGAAGGCGCAAAATGGGACCCCCTTTGCCCGTTGACCTCCGATAATGGACGAGCTAGCAACCAATTAGGAGGTCGTTTGCACATGTTATGCTGATAGCCTCTATCATTTCAGCAAGCATCATGCTTTGATTGATCACGCATCCCATGAAAAGTTATAGGATACACTCTGGAAGTGGAATATCTCGTCACATTGCAATCGAAGGGCGCTGCTGCTGGGGGCGGAGCACAGACCGTGGCGGGGCTCAGAAAGGAATGGCAAGCCTTGTACGCTGCAACTAGCGCACCTTTGACCACAAAAACGCAACATTTCGTTTCCTTGGGCCCCTGACTACTGCTTCCAATGGTGCATGTACTTCCACGCTGCATACGCACTTTATCGTAATCTCTCGCTTTAAGGCGATTGCGAAATGTCAGCCACCATTGACTGACAGGTGCCCCCTGCGCCGTTTTTTGAAGTGTTACGAAAGCTAGGAGCAAAGAACTATTTCCGCTGAAATCTTCAATGGAGGTCTTGACTGGCAGTGCATCATCTTTTTGTCGTGCCCGCAGGTCAGTGGAGTGAGAAGCGCATCGGTGAACCTGACGAGACACACAAAAAACGTGGGATTCCGGTGGGTGCCCACAACACCTCTGAAAGGGAAGAAGCGTGCAGCGAAGAATGCTTGAAGACCGAAGTCCTTGATGCCTGCCGCGGGTTGACAAGAGGCCTTGCTTCCCTGAGCCCATAGGGCATGAGCATGCTGGCGCGTGCGAATACCTAGTAGTGCGAAGGATGTCGATCTGCCGATTGAACTAGAAGAGATCCAAGATGACACGAAGGATCGACTAGGCGAAAGATAGACGGCGGCGTGTGCGCGGCGTAGACCATGTTAGACTTGACTGTTATACACCTAAATATTATACTTCTTCATATCGCCTGAATAAACACTACATAAGAAACTGTTAAACACATACTAGAAAGTAATACACGAAAAGAGTCTGTATTATGTAAATCCTATTGCAAGTTAAAGAAGAAGAATACTAAAGTTGATTGTGACTACGCTAACTACTATTAGGAAGAGTACTAATAAGAACAGTTAAGAGCCTAGGTGCTAACTCCCATATTGACTACTAAGACCTAAGGTAAGTGAAAGTGGTGACTACTAGAAGGCTATCCCGGCTAGGCGATTAAAGCTAATATTTAGATTAGTATATAAGATATAAAGTCAAACTAACTATTGTATAGCAGGCTGGCGTCATCGCATGAAGATGGAATATGAATAACAGCGATGAAAGTCCGATAACCGGAGAGGCGAATAGAGGCGACCGCTCAGGATGATGCAATGGCGGCGAGAATGACGTGGCTACGGTTCGCGCGCAGTTTGAAGGCGCAGGCAACCAAGGTCCTGTGCCGATGGCGCGAGTTTGAACCGGTATTTCGCCCTGCCTCTGACCAGCTGCTTTAGAGCACCTTTACTCGAGGTCGTGGCTGTCACGACACTATGGTGGACATTACCTTTGGCAAAGGAGCCGAACAACTTGCTTTGCCAAGGCGCAGCACCTGGTTCCACCAAATCCATTAAAAAATTGCACAGAGTGGATACTCAGCATCCCCATCACAAATGTGAACCGCATTGCGAATTTTTCAACTTTCGGGAAAAACATTGGTTGCGCCATTTCGATGCAATTTGGCCAGTTTGGCCCTCACGCCAAAAATGAGAGTGACACACATGATCCGGTCAATTAACAATCTACTTGGGAAACGTTTCATAGAAAAATACAATTCTGGGATATTAATCTGTGTAGAGCCAAGTCAGAGAAATGCTTCTCAAAATGCGAATTGAAAACGAATATCGCCACTCCCGTGGCTGGTACCAATTAGCGTTGGTGTGAAGATTTTTTCATCAGAAAAAAAAAAACATCTCGGAAATCGTAATCGTAGACTGCTCACTATATTTCAATTCAACGCCAGTCAGCCACGCGAGCGGTCCGGGGATCAAATCCTGGGTCGTGAGCCAACCAAGCCTTCCATCCCTCCGGGGTCGGTTAATTGGTACCAGACTTGTCTGGGAGGATAAAACACTGACTTGTACATCGGCTGGCCCCCGCAAGTCATTGTATAGGCCACATCGCATTCAAACGCCACTACGAATGTACAAATGGAAGTAGAATGCGTGCCGCATCCCAAAAGGGATTGATCAACGGCAAATGCTTTATCCTTTATCCTTTTATTTTATGCACAAGAAGGGCTGTCTTCACCCTCCTGTTACAATGATCAAGTATGTCATTCCGAATCCTTTACTGTTTTAGGTTGTGCTGGTATCGGAGCTACTGGCAAATGCAAGAACGCAGGGTACCCAAATCCGAAAAATTGCAAAGTATGCATTTGCCCGCCTGGCTATGGTGGCGCTTACTGTGCACAGAGAGTGAGTGCTCCAGTTGTTAGAGAAACTTCAGGTGCTGCTCGATGGAAGAAGATAGAAATTATTTAAAAAAAATTATTTAGCCAGCAGGATGTGGTGCGACTCTGGCAGCGGCCAAGGCTTGGAAGTCAAGAAATATCACCATAGGCAATGCCACGATAACCACTTCACGTAACGCCCACACGATCTGCACCGACTGGATTACGGTACTCATTTGAAACCACAATTACTTTTTTGGAAGCAGTCTCAATCAAAGCTGTTTTCAGGCACCAGCAGGTAAAACGATCCAATTCCGAGTAACAGCCTTGAAAGATGTTTCATGTGCTAATGGCTGCAGGAACAGTGCGATTGAACCAAGGATTTTGTTAGACAAGGCAATGACGAGCCCAAGGTGACGTTTTTTGAGAAAATATTATCCATTTATACACCAGAAGATGAAGTCTTGAAAACTGACAGCACATAATGCTGGGATTCTATCCTTGAGATTGATGACGGAATCGTTTTTTTGAAGATCAGTTCAGCTTCGCGCGCCCTCGCGCGCACTTTGGGGTAGCTTATCACTCCATTACCCAACTGATTTTGTGATTTCTCACCTTTCTGAGCTTTCAGCGCAAAAACCGATATTTTCAATCGATATCGATCGATAGCATGTCACCCGATGAAATTTCCACTTTTACAGCAGCACCCAATCAATACTACGATTCCCCCCTCCCTCGAGCCCTCTGCGCAAAAACCGATATTTTCAATCGATATCGATCGATAGCAGCTCGTGACTGAAGGAGTTTCTACTTTTACTACACCGCCCAATCAATATTGTGATTCCCGACCTCCTTCGAGCCTTCTGCGCGAAAATCGATATTCTCCGCAGAGATTTTGGCGCAAGCCCCGCCCCTCACGTCGGACCCCGCCCACTACCGTACTCACTTCGAAAGCCCTGCCCTCAACCGCACACGCCCTCAGGGCAACTTCCACCCATTCGGGATACTATACCAACTATTATCTCCAATCTAGCCAAGGAAGCCATAGAATACTGGACAAACAAACACCAAACTACTGTTTAAATAATAGAGGGGATAACAACGCGTTTCTCCTTGTTTAGAACCTTCCAGCGTTGGACGAATCTTCAGTACTGGCAGGAATTACCATTTAACCATTCAAAATGTCTCCATTTTGAGATTACCATGAGCAGACCAGTCACAAATGTTTCGTTCAGCTACGGCATCCTCTCTATACGCAGCGCACACATCTCGAGCAGCTTTTGCGGCCTAGAGGCATGTTTAAAGGCAAAGTTCGGGCTCAGACCCACCTAATAAGCCCTTAAAGTGGCTAGAAGTGCATGGGACGCAGCTGCAGGCGACTCGCCAAGTTCCCGCATCCAAATGCGTCACTAAGGCGCTAGGGGCCAAGGACTTTGACACGCTCCACCTGTTGCGACACGCTCCGCCCACCGCTCGATATTTTGTCTGCGTCGCAATGCTGATCTGCTATGCTCTCTCTTCTCGGATTTCTCTACCGCTCTCCGCGCTCACATTATCTCTCATCTCCCTGCCGGCCTTTTGAACTTCTCCGCAACGTAGAGCAAAAGGCTCGTATTTCCTGTGTATTTCGATTTTTTTTTTCCTTTTCCACTGGCGGTCCACCTCCCACCCCCACATCACATTTGAGTAGAATTACCTCATCAGATTAAGCTTGAATCTTGCCTTTCAGAGCTGAAAGAAGGAATTGTCGGAAGTACCGATTTCTCTTAAACTGATATCCCATTAAGATCTGAGAATCACCGGAAATGCTAAAAATCCTCCCAATTAATTTTGAATGGTCTAAAGCATTATGCCGAAAACAGTTGAAGGCACGAGTAGGAATCGAATTGGTGCGTTATTTTGTTTGAAAGCTGGGCAAGGGCTGCAATGAGGAACTTTAGTGGAAAAAGCTATTAGAATTCCACCATAGAAAGTACAACAATTTCCTTTATGCGCCCAGCCGTGGTATCACAGAGAGACCCAGCGCTGCGAGGAGAGGGAAAACACGAGATATTACGTCATACGCGAGAGGTTGCAGAGACGCGTATGCCGTGTTTGGTAGGTATGGCAGCAAGGCAGGACCCAAGACATGGCCTTATGCCGTTGCCTCGCACCTTTGAGTCGCGACAGTGTTGTGCCTTCTGCCCTTAGGGACCCCTCTTCCTCACTGTAGAAACAACTGGCTCCTGGGATCTAATCCCTACTCGTGGCTTTAAGGGCATGCGGAAAATGAATAAAGTTAGTTATAAACCAGTATCTCTGTGAAAAAATCACCTGACACACACTAATGTGACGGCACTAAATCCAAAATGCAATTTAACTAGACTCGCGTGAAAGAAAGTTATATACCTTTTCCAACTGATGCTGAAAAGGAAAAATTACATACCTTTTCTACTAAGGCCATTATCCACACTTCCCTAATTGGTACACCCTGCTTTCAAATTTTGCTCGTAATTTGTATTGAAAAGATCCAGGTATCCATTGTGGAGCGCTTATTCGATGACCGTTCCACGAAACCATCTCATTCTCCCGGCAGACCGATGCGAATTCCTTAGCGAATCGTTGGATTCGCAATGTCTGACATCGGTCTATTATAGATGGTTGCTGTGGATACAGTAATGTCGTGAACCTCATGCGTAGGGTGCGGGTTTAGCTCAGATGAGGCATCGATCACTTTTGTATCCCTCAGGGTGGAGCTCAAGCTTGTGCCTAAAACAATAATTGACTTATTCGACCTATCATGAAATCAGCCTTTTAAACAAACTTCTCAACAAAAAAGATTTGGATGGTGCAGACTCCGGAAAAGATTCAGTGTAGTTATTTATCCTATGTACGCTTTTAGAGGAACTCATATTTCAGAATTTGTTGCCCCGAACAACTGAATCAGATTTTGCCAAGCAACCACAATCCAGCTCCAATCGTCACATATAGTATTCGCTACAGGTCTACATATACTTATGAGTACAGATATGTGTAATCGGATTTATATCGAGTGAAAATAAAAGCGATTACAAAATTACATGTACCATCTTTGTCATCTTTTTGGAGCTTGTACTTTGACTAAGCCGACCGAAATTCCCACACGCACATCTGAATATATGCATAGTGGGATTTAGAAGCAATATTGTGAAAAAGCGCATAATTTCTTACCTGTGCTCGTGGACCAAATAGAGCAGCTTTTGCAAGGAGGTGAAGGTGACTAAAGCAATGCTCTCGAAGCGGCTTATTGACGAGTCAGCCATTCGTTCGTAGAAGTACCAACGAGGGGAGATTTGACTTACGGGCTCGGGAGGGGGGCTTTTGTACGCAGTCGCAGTCACGGAGTGCAGCTGCCTTTCGTGATTCTTGTTCAGGGGCCAGCACTCGCTGCCGTAGAGCATCGCAGGCCTCACCACTGTCCGATACACCTTTCCTTTCAGTGTTCTGGAGCACTTTCAATCGCAGAGGAGGACTCGGCCCTTCGTCGTGATCGCTTCCTTTAAATATTAAGTTGGGAGCAGTCAATTTGAACTCACCAAAGTGTGATTAGTGCTGTTTGAAATGAAAGATTAGCTGTCCCTTTTGGCCACTCCTGTGAAATGAAAGATTAGCTGTCCCTTTTGGCCACTCCTGTATATGGTAATCGTTAAGTTAGGACGCAGGAGGGTGAGTTGTCATATTTCTCGAATTTGACCTAACTAAGATAATAAAATTATTTTAGGTTAAAGGGGATGGCAGGCCTAGAAATATCGCCACAAAGAAAATAAAGTATTCTTACGATTAGGATTATTTCGCAATACTTTGGTGTTTTCGTTTTGCGATGAGCTTTCGGATCTTACAGAAGTTTAACATTGATATAGACATGCACTGAACAATCGTCAGAATGTCTATCATTCGAGGTGCAATCATATCGCATGAATACCATGCATTTTCGCATCTAAAACGTCTCCCCTCCCCCCGCTTCATGCAAATATGACCATTAAAATCAGGTATTAAAATGCCGTTAAGAGTTGATGTTTGCAAAGGAGTTTAGGAATAAAAAAGATTACATGATCAATGAGCAAAAGTCACACGATAAATCACATTCCTATCAGAACATGGTGTTTGTAAGGAGGTTCTCATAAAACGCTTACCAGAAAATCACACCATGCGGTGAATGAGTGCTCCTGAAGATTACGCATGAGGGTGCCTTTCAGAAGCCTGCCGCGTTGACCGCGAGGTTAGTTGTCAATTACTACTTTGAAAATTTTCAACTTCGACTGATGAGGAAATAGGGTGACGAGTTATAAAGCAGATGAAGCGCCAGCCTTTCTCCGAGGCCTGGTCAGAGTATTGCATACTCAATGCAGTAGATAGAGTAAAAAAACGAATTCGCTCAACTGTGAGAAGGTAGCGTGGCCACTCGCTATTAGCCTGCCATTTTTTGTGCCCAGACGCTCTAAAGACAACTTTATTATATTTCTCAAGTAATCATAACATTCCTCAGGTAAGTGAAGGAACCCAACAGTTAGCGATGGCCGCGAGGGTACCCGCAGTGACAAAATGGCAGGCTCCTTTGGTCATCATGAACGGACTCTCACACCTCCACTGAAAAATCTGTTGATAGTCGGGATGGCCTCATTGATCATAACTGGAAGTCTGGGGCCGTATGCTATCCTTCCCCGAAGCTAGGTGACCCAAAGTTTCCTTTAAATTTATTTGTTTGAACGATGTAGTTTTCTTCATTTTCAGTGCATGTTTACTTTACCTACATACACATTAAATGTAGGCCCTTTATCAGGGCAATCCCAGTTGGGAAGACAGAGAAAATTTGAAAGGATTTTCGTCCCCCCTTTCCTTTGGGGAGGATAGCATACGGCCCCTGATGTGCCCTAAAGGAAAGATCTTATCTTAGCAAAATGGTGTCATAATGATTTTATTTGTTTTGTTTTTGTTATCAGTTCGCTTATTAACTCGGTTGTATTGCATCTAAACCTTTCGGTGTGGCGGGAACCTGGTAGTAAGTAAGAATGCGTGAGCCAGGGGGAATGGGGCCAATTCAGGGGGGGGGGTGAGCCACTTAACCTGTGGCAAAAGTTTGGGCCTTAGTGTCTGGTGTCTGGCCTTGTGAAGGAGACGCAGAGGAGCAAAAGGATTAGATGTCACAAGACCGTTAACTCTAGATGCCCTTTACGATCCTAAGGAATACTTTCATGAGCGAGTATAACCACAAAGTAACCTCCTAAAATGTATTATAGAAAATGGTCCTGAGATAGACCAGCAGGTACTGCAAATCCTCTCGTTCATAACCACACACAGGCAGACCGTACGGCCGGTGGTACCTTAAAGGAATCTTGCGCGGAAAATTCTTGCACTCTTTCCTAACATGAATATGTCAGTTGTGATCACTGGAAATAGCACACAAAGTTTCACGCATGAAGATTCGGTTTCTGAAGAGAAACAAACGTACAAAAACTACACGTTATTATGGACCATCGAAGGACCAGGAGGCAGAGCCAGGCGAGGCATGGAAAGAAGACGGCGTTTGGCCGGCTACGTACCAGGCGACGCAATGAGAGAATCGGGTTAAAGCGCGCGATTTCGGAGAGTGGAGACAAATCGATCGATGGAATAGGATGGAGTAGAAGTGTGAATGCAACGAAGCAGAAGGCCAGAAAGAGCTTCTAGTGAATGCACTCCAAGAACCAAGTTTGAGCATCCCCGTCGCCAGCATTCGTGAAAGACGTCCGTGGGCAATTCGAACGCGTAGCAGCCTTTTCGAGTTTTCGAATTTCTAATCAAAACGAAAGCAATACTTCAGTTCTTTTCACTATTATCGTGGATAATGAGTCTCAAGCCAGTGATTTATGGCTGAAATAGAATCATGATTTTTCCGCGCAAGATTCCTTTAACCGTGCCGCTAAATATACGAAAAATAATGATCGCTAGAGAACAAATGGCGACTTTGTAATCTAGGCAGATTATTGCATACGACCACTACGATTACCATTCTGCGGTATTGGTAACAGAAGGTTACAAATGAACGTATTGAAGGATAGGAGTGAAACATTTGGATCTAATTTAACTAAAATGGAATTAAATAGGGCCGATTTCTTTACTGATGCAATATGGGCAACAGTATGGTACCGTCTTGTTGCTCATATTACACATCTACTCTATTGAGTGCCGTGATCCCGCACTTGAACTATTGCTCACAAATATGGAACCCCCTCGGAAAAAAGGCACAGCTAACAAGGGAAGGATGGTAGGTCGAAGTGGCCGTTCGAAATGAAATGTATACCTCCTGATGCGTCTCCAGACGCTGATTCCAAATCTGCCTTCCAAATCTGCTAAACGACTCTCCGAACGGAGTTATGAAGCGTAATAGCTCAGTGGTGATGGTCCGGGGTGGCAGGTAAAAGCTCGTAGGATCGGTTCCTTTGCAAATTGGTTGCTTTGCTTTTGTCTCTAGAAGTGTTGCGGACAAAAGCAAAGCAACAAACTTGCAAAGGAACCGATCCTACGAGCTTTTACCTGCCACCCCGGACCATCACCACTGAGCTATTACGCTTCATAACTCCGTTCGGAGAGCCGTTTAGCAGATTTGGAAGGCAGATTTGGAATCAGCGTCTGGAGACGCATCAGGTGGTATACATCTTCATTTTATAACGGCCACTTCGACCTACCATCCTTTCCTTGTAAGCTGGAAAAGATACAGGGAGTATTTACCAGGCTAGTGTATCTTAAAGTGTTCCCAGCAGCTGCACCAGGTAATATGCCCAGCTATGAGGAACGCGCAAGGTGGTTGCGGTTAATCACGCCGGCAGAAGGGAATGGTCAGTGACCTTACGCAATGATTTCAATATTAAAGAGTGAAACCTAACATAGGCCTAGCAAGTATTGGGTTCTTCAGCCCCTGCAGTGTGGAAATCGGAAGATTAAATGGACACCACATACTGGTTAACAAGAAATATTGTCTCAACTTGCAGTTCTGTCGTAGGTAGGTTGCTGGGCAAACTTCCACCAAAGTTGTTTGGACCACCTGTGGTAGGGTATTCAAGAGGAAATATGAGAAAAAAAAACGTAGTATTGTCGCGTTTCCAAGCTTACGATTAGATTTATTTATTTCTTAAAGAACTGTTTCGTCGGCAATGCTGCAAAGCTAGTAAGCAGTTTCCATCTTGATATGTATTTCTCCATTAACGACGCTTTTTCTGTTCGGTAGCGCTCTGACTTTTTTGGCCGGCGGTAGCTTGTCTTGGGCGATCGGTAGCAGAAGTGGTCATCGACACAGTGGCCAGTGGCGCTGCTGGAACTCATTAGACCGCTTGGATGTACAATGCTGCACTCCGGCGTTGAACAGAGCCATCTTATTTCCTTGTGGATAGGTTTGTGGATTCGTAAACTTGAAGTCAATTCAGATGCGGCACCGCTGGCTTTTCAACCTCAGATCATTCCAGTCGCTATCCAAGCAATGACCACACCTCTTGATGCAGCGGACATGATTTTACACTTTTTTCATCCAATGTGGTATGACAATACGCTACTGGTGCTGCCTTTCATCATATCTAACACTCATTACACTGGAACATATCGGATGTTGTTCTCTTAGATTCCCCAAATAACCTTTTTAATGCAACCTTCAGATACCTGTGCACAAATCCTGCACCAATCTGAAGTCATGCCACCAGATGTTTGTGCCGATCTGCCGCTGTTCACAGTCTTTGAGCTCCACTAGATCGTGTTTCCGTTTCTACAGTATCTCTCTCAGGATCCCAATCATTAGTTCCAAAAATCACACATGAGCATTACCACGAGGGTGACCACACATCTGCCGAAACAGTAATGTGTCAGGGGTTTCGAAAGAATCTATTCATGAATAATCTCTGGCGGTTTTAAGTATGTGCCTTGCTTCTGTTTTGCCTTCCAGGTTTGTTATGGTGGAATCTTTATTGGTCGACGTTTCGAACAAATCGTCGTTATCAAGACCTAAAATTAGTTCGGAGCTCTAGCTTGTAG